AATATAATGAAGACAGCACCGCATATAAAGACATAAGCACCGAGTATAATGGAATAAGCACCGAGTATAAAGAGTTAATCACCGAATATAATAACATAAGTACTAAATATAATAACATAACCACCCAATGTAATAAAAAAAAGTATCATAAGACAGTTCTGGTGTTCCATACAATTCTGTCTGTAATCCAGCTTGTGATTATTAAAACAAATCAGACTGTCTCCCGCTTTTTGTTAATCACTCGTATGATTATAATTCCAGTCCGAATTGGACTTCACTCCGGTTCATATCACCATAACGAACTGTTTCTACTTCTCAATAAAGAGATTTCAGTTTCTGAACTTCATTGTTTGAGATACAAGGCATCTATCATTCTAACCAACATCCAACTGCAGTAAACAATACTTACTTTTGCCATTGAGAATTTACTGAGTAAACAGTATTTCGCAGTTCCTCGATCACCGCCGTGTTCGAATGCTTATACAAAATCAGAATGAAGGTTCAAAGCTGAAGACATTTTTTCTCCACAACTGCGGCCGTATTTCATTTGGATTGCCGCTTAACGAAGGGTATATTTAAGACAGAATGTGAAACTTGTTAGTAAGGGGAGCTTTTTCTGGTAGCTATATCCTCTATTGTGTAAAAAGTTTATTCCTAAAGGCTGACTTTATTCCTTCGTTAAATTAGATAGTTCGAAATGTTCATATAATCACCAATTACATTTCAATGTAGAAGACTTCAGGTCACCTGGCGAAGAATGACTAGTTCAAGACATTTCTACCTTTTACATATAAAAAATATTTGTATGATGGCCTGCATTTAGAACACGGCAAATGGCAGTGAATTATACTAAAAACGTTTTAAAATCCTTTGTTTTATCATTCACCTGTTTGCATTGTAATTTTGAGACTCCAATGAAGTTGAATATAGTTAGTTCGGCGTTTCCAACACGCTCGGTTAATAGTTTGAGGCTTATAAATTGGAATCTAAAACTGTTGGCTAATTTCTCGGAGTGGAAATTGTATTCACCTCGTCCTAAACAGAATTCACTGCACCCTTTTATTCAATGGCACACTGAGCTGTAGTAGTTCAATAATTGGTGTCTTAACCATTGAAACAGACCACGAATTCTAACTTTTCAAAGACAAATCAACGAATGATTATCTGGCAAAAAAATATGACCGCGGTATTTCAAACTATTACATGGCATTTCTCTAGTTCTATAGTTTTTTTTCAAACGAAGAAGATACTACTGAGGCTACTGGCAAAATGGAAGTTTTCTTTAACTTTGGAGAGAGAAACAGCGAGACCCTTAGACCTGTCTCAGTAGCAAAACACTGATTTCTAATTTCTCTTTCGGCTGCCGGTTTCCACTTGCCTTCGAAGTTCGAAGAGTACATAAAATTCTAGCCGGGAATAAAATCAGGCCCGGCGTGATCATTCAAGAGCGTTTCACGCAGAAAACATTTTAGCGATCATTCACCGCTACTAAAAGCTGTGTTTTTTTAAACGATCTTTAGGATTGGCTCCCTCCCTTTGAAACTTTCACCAACTCTTTGAACTAAGAGCTTGCTGAAACTGACTGCGCGATCGGCCGAGCTACTTGCTCAAACGCACTTCTTCGGTTGAAAAATTATAGTTTCTTGGGATTTACTGAATGACTGGTATACAGAAATATTTCCTGTCATCAACTGACGCTGCCACGTTCGTCCATGGCAAATTAGGAGAAGGTAACTCCGTCTATTTTGCAGAACTTGTCGTTGTTACAGTCTATCAGTCGTTTCGATCACTAGCTAACATACATAAATTTATCACGAACACCATGACTGTTCTTGTAAAACTGTTATTCGGTAAGAAGAAGCTGAGAGAGGTGAGCGAATGACTTGATGAGTGACTTTGTGAATGGCTTCATAAATTGACC